GGCCTGGCACTGGGTGCCGGCTGGTGCCCCCTGGCCCGGCGCTGCTCCTCGCTGGCCGGGGCCGACCTGGCCCCACTTCCCCTGAGCTCAGCAGCTTTCCCGGCTCACCTGTTCCTCCGCCGGCACCGCGCTGCTGGTGTGGGCAGGAGCATATGGCAAAGTCCGCTCTAATGAAGATTAATGTGGGGAGATTCACCTTCTCCAACCTGGACCCCTGCCGGGTTTTAATTAATATTTTGGGGAGGAGTGTTCCTGTGGACAGGCTTTGCTCCTGCAGGGGTGAGAGCAGCCGGAGGGGTCCCGTCCCTGCGCCCAGGCTGCCGGCGACGTGTCCCCTCCCGCGCGGGGATGCATGCCGGCAGGGAGGTGTGCAGGCGGCAGCAGGAGCCCCTTGGGGAAGGGGCTGCTGGCTGGGGGGGGGTGGGGGTGGGAAGGTGTCTGGGGGGGGGTGCAACAACAGCATCTGCTCCCTTCATCCCCCAGGACCCCGGCTAAGGGAAGCGGGGAGGCAGCGAGGCTCCTGCTGGGTCCTGCACCCGCCGTCTCTGCCCCATCCCTGCTTTCCCTGACAGCACTCCTTTCTTTTCTGGCCCTGCTTGGTGGGTGGGAAGAGCAGGGAATTCGGGAGGGGGAGCGCACCGGCAGGGAGCCTGGCAGTGCTGGCACTGTGCGGCATTTGATGGAGAGATCGGCCGAGCCCTCGGTGCGGGGCAGGGCTGGCTGAGAGCAGCACTTCTGCCCCAGAGGGCTGCCCGCCCCGAGGGGGGACTGGGGGGGACAGCCAGTTCCTGGCTCGCCGAGCTGCCTTCAGGCATCTGACCCTTTCCCTAAGCCGCTTAGGCACAGCCGGGACAGGGCGTTTGCCCAGGCTTTACAAGTTAATTCCTAGCAGGTGATATGTTCCCAGAAAGTTTCTTTCCCAGCCAGCCCCGTGGGGCCTCGCATGCCCGTATCCTTCACCAAATCCTGTAGGATGCCGGGGGGGTGCTGGGCGGGAGGCATCCCCACGCCGGGGGGTGCAGGTTTCCGTCACTACTCCTCGTTGCTCACTGCTCACGGTGCTGCTGCGGGGATGGGTGACGAGCGGGGCTCCGGCTCGGTGCAAAGGCACCGTGACTCACCGCTGCCTGAGGCAGGGCCACCCGCAGCATGTCCCTGTGGGAGCAACGTGTGTCCGAGCACCGGAGACCCCCCTCCCTGCTCCCCGGCCGGGGCAAGAGGCACAAATCTTTGCAGGCTGGAAGATTTCTGCCTTCTCTTCTGCTTTGTGCTTCGCTGCCCATGTAATTGCCTGCTAAATCCTGATTGTATAATCTTTATTGCTGATGATGCACAAAGCAGAAAGGCTCTGCCCTGGGCCGCGCAGCCAGGTCTTGTTTTGCTCCTCAGACCAAGTGCTGTGGCCAGGAGGCCAGCGACCTGCTCGGTGCTCCCCGCCCACGGCACCGCTGCCCTCTGTGCTGGAGCGGGCAGGACGGGGGTACCGCTGTGCCCGGCTGTGCTGTCGGCTGCCGGAGGAGTTAACGGCAGAACTGCTGTGCCAGAGGAAAGGGGCTCGATTAATAATTCAGAGGGAGAAGGAACTGGCTCCAGCCTTCTGCCTTGCAGATGGGGAGTGCCTAGGAGAGGAGCATCGTCCTCTGCAGCGAGGGCAGGGCGGTGTCGAGGCTGCGACACCCCTGGCCCCTTCATTCCTGTAGCTGGCACGTGGTGTGTCGCTCCAGCTCTCCCTTCTCCGTACTCTGGATCCAGTCCTTCTCCCGTTCCCTGGGGTTTCTCTGCCACCGGTCCCATCTCCAGTTTCCCAGTTTCGGGGAAGGGGACCTGCCTGTCCCCTTTAGGCTGGGTTTTGAGCTGGGTGCTACCCCCCTTGCCCCACTCTGGGCATGGGGCACTCAGCAGCACCCTCATGCCATGACCAGGTTTGCAGAGCCCCCAGCCCTACACGGCACAAACTGTGGGTTCGGTGGGTGGGTGCGTGTGTCCCCAGGTCATGCTCAGCCTTGGGGGGGCCCGTGGTTTGTCCCACCCCAAGTGCTCAGTGTCTGCACCGGGTCCCCTTGGCCCGGGTGGTCCCGCAGAGGGCACAGAGCATCGTCCCCTCTCCCTGGCTGCCTCCCTGCCAGAGCTGGGGCAGGCGTGCGGGTTGGGTCTGGTTTCACCCCTCAGCTGCCCTGGGCAGCCAGTTCGGCTCTAAAGCTCCACGTCAGCAACAAGAGGAGACAGGAAAGTACTGCCGAGCGGGTGTCAGGCAGCATCTCCTCAAGCCGAGCCCCCTGCGCTCTCTGGAGCACCATTGATGGGTCCCACAGGCATTGCTCACCGTGGGGAGATGGTGCTGGGGGGCAAGAGGGATGCCCACCAGCTCGGGGACAGGGTGCCAGGGCCACCTTGCTTGCGCTGCTGGCCTCAGCCTGGCCGTCCCAGTGCTGCTGGCGGTGCCTCCCCGCAGTGCCGTGGCGCCGCGTGCCCAGTGGGTGCCCAGAGCAGCCCCTGCCGTTACGGAGCCGGCTCCGGCAGAGCGGTGGCCCTTTGCACGCCGTCACGTGGGCCGGTGGCACAAGCCCTCTGCCTTCCATTTTTAGAATAGCTGGATCAGGGGAAAAAATGTATTTTTGGAGTTTCATTTGCTTCAGCTTCAGAATCTATTTTTTTTTCCCTCCTTATTTTAAATGGACCAAAGCCCCTTGTGTCTTAACCCAGCTCTCGGGGACAAATAGCTCCAGAGCAGCTCCCTATTAACTCTTCCCCCGGGTCTCCAGCAACTCCCCATGGTGGCAGTGATGCTGGGGACAGTCAGGAGAAGCTCTTGTCCCCTTTCTGCAGCAGCGGCAGCACCCTGTCGCAGCGCGGGACCCCTCGTCTCCCTCCCTGCCTTTAATTAGCAGTTGTTTTGCCCAGGCAGAGGCTGCAGGGCGGCGACGGAGCCTGGCACTGAGCCCCGTGGCCCATGGAGCCTGGGCCTCGTTGTAGGCTGTGGAGCATCCC